CCGCTTGCAGTTCAGGTGTAGGGTAACTTTTATCGGATGTTTGGGATCAAATCCTGGCCGTTCAATTCTTCTTATGCTTTAATGCTTCGTTGGCGGCGTTGTGCTTCTTCTGCAGGTCATGTGAGGTTCTTGTTACCGTGCTTTATTTTGTGGCACCTATGGAAGACGCGTAATACTTATAGGTTTGATGGCCGAGATTTTCTGGTGCTCGTTGTGGTTCAGAGGGTTATGACCAATATGCAGTTGATTGAGCTTACTTTTGGGTTTGCTCTGAGTCAGTTGCGTCGAGATGAATCGGTTGAGTTTATGGGTTCTCTTAAAGTCTTGGTTTCTCGGCCTCGGCCCCTCCACTTGGTTACTTGGACTCTTCATGTACCAGGTTGCCTGAAGATCAACGATGACGGTTATCCTAAAGGCAATCCGGAGTTGTCTGCAGCAAGGGATGTTATTCGGGACCACCAGGGTCGAGTTCTCAGGGCTTTTGGCTTGTTTATGGGACATCAGCCTATTCTATATGTGGAGATGCAGGCTATTTGCGTTGGGTTGGAGTTGGCCACGAATTTGGGAGCTTCAGTAGTAGAGTCAGCTTCAGCTACAATGTTTTTTTGGATTTATTCTCAAGGTACTGGGTGTTGGGTTTATGCTTACCTGTTTGCTCGCATTCGGCTTCTATGTGCTTCTCCCTTGGCTTGTGTCTGCCACGTCCTGCGGGAGACGAATCAGGTTGCCGACTTTATAGCTAATTAGGCTTGCTCTCAGCAACTCAATCAACGATTTTCTGATTCGTCATCCCTTCCTTCTGAGATTGCTGGCATCCTCGCCTTGGATGCTCAATAGACTCCTCATGTTTGTCGATGAATTTTATTTTTATTTATATTTTCAATTAGTTCTGTGGGAAGTCCCCACTTTGTTTTCATGTCTTTGGTGGTGAGTCACCACCTTACTTTTGCTTTTCTTCCACTTTGTACTTCTGGAGAGTGGTCCCCCTCCCTTATACTTTTTTCCTTTTAGTTATATATACAAGTAGGGTCCTGCCAAACTCTCCACCTACACTAGGTGGTTTTGAAAAAAAAATAAAAATCTAAGTATCTAATTGTAAATCACAAGCATTCATCATGTTCGAAATTTACGATGAATCAAATTTTTAGCAAATAAATCTTATTTTTATCATAAGTAAGAAATCAATTATTTTATAAAAATCTTAATCAATTAGCTCAAACATGCAAAACCAATTATTTGATTCGTAGAGAATTTTAAGAATTCAATGTACATTGTACAATGAATCAAAATGTTTTATAGAGCAAAAATTTTATTAAAAGATACGAATTAAATTAAAAAAAAAATTATACACTAAGAACATTGAATCAAAAATAATATTTTACTTTATTGAAAGTTTCTTCCATAACTTTAGTTTGGACTTTAACAATCCATAAAAAAACAAAAACAAAAACTAAGAAAGAAAGGCCGGAGAATGAATACCCCAAATCAGGATTTACATGAGTTTTAATAGGCATTAGGAACCAAAAAAATTAATTAACATCAAAGTCTGAGGTTACTGGCCAAACGTCGTCGTCGAATTCTGATGCGCGTTTTGGACCGTTGGGACGCACCTTATTTTTAGGCTTCTCTACTCATTGCCTTCGGACTCGTGTTTCTAATCATCCGGACGCATTGCTTCTATGATTTGCCTTCAGCTACTGGGGATGACGTGCAGACACGAATTCTCCTCCGTCTGGACACGGGTCTTTAACCTCCCTTTGCAGTTTCTAGAAGTCACGTTCGAATGCTTGGCCATGGCTGTCCAGATGCACTTTGTAGCATCTCTTTTTATACTCCTTATTGCTCTGGATCTTCTCTTCTTTACATATATGTCACTCAAATCTTTAACTTAACCAAATTATTTGTAAAAACAGGCAACACTACAAAAAGAAGATAAAATCCGAAACACATTAAATATACTCAGTTATCTTTTACCCAATGTAATTAACCACCTATTATTATACTAATCATGCAATATTCATTGCTAATCAGTTTTACGTTAGAATATTTTAACTAAAAGAATATTTTTTGTATGTGAAAATTTAATTTTACATCGACTAAATATGCAAAAGTACTTGACTATATATATATATATATATTAGGGTTATCTAACTTTTGAATTAAACAAAGATTTTGAGGCTCTCACATGCGCTGGGGTGAGACTAGCGGAAGAGATGTCCACGACTTGGGTAGTGGATCCCCTGGCTCGCCTAAATAAAATAAAATATTAACTAGTATTAAACCTATTTTTTAATATTTTGTTTAATTATTTTTTGTCATTACTTCTATAATAAAATTTCAGTTGCTGAATATCAAAAACTTAAAACGGCTAGTATTCCAATAGCTATATTTTTTAAGTCATTATCTAATTAAATATAGAAATAATTACAACCTATTAAGCACATATATTATTTGTATATATATGCACATATTTTTAGTATAGAAATACACAATCTGATATCATTTGATTGTACAAATTTGAGTGAAAAAATAGTCAATAGGTTGGAATATTATATCTTGTGAATGATGCGTTACTGCCTTCTGCATTGTGATTCTTTCATTAAGGGGCATGAATTGTCTTAAGAGACCAATCTAGTCCACACCTTATCCTACCAATGCATAAAATTTCAAAAAGTTCAAATTAATTATAATATATTGAGATTAATTTTATTATATTGTAACTCGACCCGTTGTTCGCGGGCGACTTATGTGCCTAGCATGAGAGCCCCCTTAGCAGTCCCGTCGTCGTCTCCGCTTAAATTGCTAAAGATTAATCAAACAATTTGGTCCTAACACGCAACTATTTTCTCAAACTTCCAATGGAAACATAACTAACTCTGAACTTTCCTGTTGGGTCCCAGATGGTTTACCTGGTACTTCGAAAAAATTGACAAGTATTATTATATAGACTTCATTTATATTATAAATCTACTGATCTAAAATATTATCGGGTGAATATTAATATTAGTTGAGATCCGCTAATAATTAAACAATAATGATAAATTATGTCCACAAAATATATTCAAATAGCGAAGAAAAATTCCGAGCTAGCGAAAGAGATTTGAAATTTTTTTTGCATCTACCTAGGAATTAATGACATTTATTCCCCTCAATATAAACAGAGACTGTAATATACAATTGGAAGTGAGTAGACACATTCCACATGGTTTATCATCAGGTTCTTATAAAAGTACTAGACTTGCTCTTTTTTTTTTCTTTCCTTTTACACTACAAAGGCCATACAATTTCCCGTTGCAATAGGGGCCACCCCCAAGAAGACTTGTCAAATTTTGGTAAATACAGACAGTGACTCGCAGCAGAATTAAGTTGAACATGCAATTGAATTCAATTTGAATGGCTAAGTAGTCAAATTAGGTCTTTGTAGTTCTATTTTAATCTTTTGCCAAAAACAAAAAGACAACAATGTGTGTGTGAGAGAGAGAGAAAGAGATCTTTATCTTTTTAACTTCTTGATACAGGAATGAACAAAATTAAAAGAATATAGTTAAAATTACACTGAAAAATGTAAAAAAAATAGTCATACCTGTGAAACCTAAAAACCCAACATATAATAGTTTGACTTAATATTGTGTCAAGAGATATAGCCTCGAAGAAAAAATTTGACAATTGTAGTTAAAATAATACTATTGAATCATATCAATAACACATAATTAGATTAATAAATTAGATCAAATTTTTAAATATTAATAACATTACTTCAAGAAAAATTAGATGCGGTTTTTGATGGGACTTTTCTGAAATGCTCCACGATGAAGACACGTGTCCTCGGTATTACCAAAACACTGTTGATAAGATCAAGCACCATCGGCGCGCAAAGGTCCTCGCCCCCGAGGTACTCGTGATATAGGATCATGCATTCAGTATGTTTACAACCGACACGTGGCTTCGGTCTGATATGGTACCTCGGTCGGCATACCTCCCTCGGTTCCCGAGATGAGCCTTTCCTCGGTGCCGAGAGGTACCCGTCCTGGACGCTTCCTCTACTCCAGGATAAGCTATTGACGTACAGGTCATTAGCCTAGACTAGTCTAGGCTATTCATCATGACCTCATCTTACACAATTAGTGTCAGAACGTACTGGAATGCAGGGGTCACAGCCAATAAAGGATGGACGCGTGGTGTATGATATCACATCGAAGACAGAGAAACCGCATGCCGTTGCTGACACGCGACTTGGGAAAGCAAACAATTAATTGCACCATTCCCTTGATGAGACCGCATTCAATGCGGTAAGACTCGGAAATGAAAGGCAATAAATGCTCCTAATGCAGAGCATTTATTGCCTCCTCCCCGAGAGGAGTACATTGTACCGTCAACATCCCGATGACCCAGCATTGATTGCTCGGGACCCCGAACAATTAAGAAGAGAAGACATTCCTCATCAGAATCAGTGCGCACACTGCCTGTACCTAATGATCATCTACTGACTATACTGACAGCAATCATAAGCTTTTGAGGTATAAATACCCCTTGTAAAAGGCAAGATGGGTATGCAACAACAAACTCTTTACTACAATACATTCTCAGTGTTTTCTCCTTCCTCTCTCTTTCTCAAAGACTGACTAGATCGTCGGAGGGGATACGCCGAAAAACACTCCGGCGCCCTTCTAACTTGTTTTTCTTTGTTCCAGGATCCTCTTTCAGCCTTACTGGATCGTTCTTCCGCTCCCCCAGGGTCTCCCGTTGCCGTTTCAGGTTACCACCGGACCTCGCAGGCTGTTCCAGGCAGCGTGGTTGGTCACTCAACTGGCTCACTCGAAGTTCACCAGGGAAGAGATCTGTTCTCGTTTTTTATATTGTGCAGGATCTTGCACGCACAGTTTTCATAAGCCATGGCCATACAAATTAAGCTCACTAGTTTTGGCTAAGTTTGAATACATTTCAAGATTTGTAATAGACTACAGGTCCTTGACAAAGACACCTAGCCGTAAAAGACGGCAATGGACAATATGAGCATTCCAGTTCCCTATATAAATGGGTTGTGGTTGTACAAGACGAGAACCAAGTTAATTAGAAAGATGAGAGGAACATTGAGGGCAAGGTCATGGGTGGGAATGCTTGTGTTGGTGTTAATGGTGGGAGATGTTTGTGTGTTTCCTATGGTGAGTGGAGCTACGACCGCTAACCAGTGCAAGGAGGAGAAAAGGCTTCTGGTTAATGCTTGTAGGGGTGTCATTTTTGGACAAAACCCTTCTGCTGCTTGTTGCCAGCGTGTTAGGGTCACCCAGGTTGAGTGTGTGTGCCCCTCTGTTACCTCTAAGTTGGCAGCCCTCATCGGAGTTCAACGTGCCATCAAGCAGATACAAGGTTGCGGAAGGGCCATCCCTCGCAACTTCAAGTGTGGGAGTAAGCACTAAGCTCTCTCTCTCTCTCTCTCTCTCTCTCTCACACACACACACACAGACACCCCAGTATAAACCACGAGTCGAGTCGACATATGGTTCACTTCACTAGGAGACATTTTCAAATGTGTTGGACGAGTTTTAAAGTTATTACCTCAATCTCTTAAAATGTCACCATTTTTTTCATATAAAACGAGCATTTTATAGATACCGCCCTTGTGCCCTCTCTCGATACTGCATCGGTATCTTTCAAGTCACACACAATCGGAAACTTTGGAATGGGCTCTTTTTTCTTTGTCTAAATGCATTCAGGTTGACGAAATGAAGCATTATTTTACATTGGTTTTTACATAGTATAAACTTACTATATATGTATTCTAATTTCTGCAGGTATCACTACTCCATGAGCAAGTGATGGATTGAGATGGTTGTCGTCCCCCACATATATTATCAGGAAAGTCTCGTTGTTCTAAATTTAATGTTTGTCCTAGCTATGAGTTTGTCTCACTGTCAGAGAGAGGGAGAGAGAGAATAATGTAACTCTAGCAATAACAAATATAATAAAATAATCTCCCCTGTTAAATCCTATTCACAGTTCTTTCAGATTGATTGGATTGAATGTTTTCCAGTGCTTGATGGGAAAAAAAAATAGGAAAATAGTTTGCGTTTTCTGTCAAACTGTTCCGTGGAAGATGTTTGGTGTCTGTAGATCATTGTGTCTCAACTCTCAACGACCATTGAACAGCTTTGACATATTATTGATGTGAATTTGGCTATCCTTGCATTCCAATCCACAAACAAAACAAAACAAGAAAATAAAAGCTAAATTTAATGTAGATTTCGTGTCAGCGTTTAAATTGATGGAGTAATCCTCCTTGCTTATTATGTTAAAATCAAAAAAAGATTACCCGAATTCGAGCAACTAGGGTTTTGAATAGAATTTTCAAGAAGATAAAACAATGGAATTTTTAAAGCGTTATGGTTAAGGCTGGTAATTGAGGCGAGCTATTCAGACTCAATTCAGATAGGACTCGATATAAGAGTCGAGCTCAAATAATTTTTTAAACTTGTTTATAAAATGAGTGTAAAAGATTCGACGCAAAACTCGAATTGTTTATATGTAAAATAGTCGAGCTAATCAATCTTCACTTGAGTTCGGTTTGTTTTGGAGTTAACTCAGGCTTGACTCATTTTCTAAACGAGTAGAGGTTGAACTATTTTTTTGATTCATTTAAAAAAACGAGCTCAACATACTCTGTTCGAATTCTCAAAACTTGACTTGATTATCGGCCATATTTCTACTTATCGGCAGCTAATAAGCAGATTACTCCATTCTAGAAGGCACTTGATACAAAGCAATTTGGCCTACTTCCCCAAGACCCTTCTTTCTCTCTAATTAAGCTAGGACTTACATAATAAATGGTGCATTGGACATGCCAGTTTTGAAACAAAACTCGACAAAAACAATGTTACTAATTTTATTTAAGTACGCTTTTTTTCTTCCTGAAAGCTAAATAAATTTATTCAATCCATCAGAAAAAGATATTACAATGTCGCTCAAAAACATCCAAAATAGTGCATATCAGTACGCTCACAAAGGTTGCAAGACTGCTCAATGCAGAGAAAAAAAGTAGGCTTATTAAGCATTATCATGGTTTGCACAAAATCAAAGCTTATTCGAAAGAGCTTGGAGATGGTGAGGGTGAGACAGCAGTTTCTCCAACAACATGCCCAAGCGAGACACACTGGCTCCAAACTTGTGTGCTCTTTGACAAAATCTGAGACTCGTCGGCACGACTTGGCTGTACCAGAGGGATGCTGAGAAAAGCCTTGACAAGCTCATCTTGGCATAGCTTTCCCATCTTCTTAAGGTCTTTGCAGCATTCTTTTGTGATTGTTGTGTCCTGAAACACACCTGACAAGATCTCATCACCACACTTCTCGGTTAGCTTCCTTGCACAAGTCTCCAAAGACGCCACGGAACCCGGTGATGGCAAGGGTGAGTCGACATAGAAGTCGGGTTGTGGTGGTGGAGCTCTGGCGTGTGAGGGTGCTACTGTAATGCTAGCTAAGTAAATTATGGCCAAGGTAAAGAACTTGGTAGCCTTCATTGTGAGGAATGAATTGTTTTTTTTTTTCCTTTTGAGTGTGTGTGTTTGTGCTCTTGTTGGAACGAGAGAGGTTTGTGATGGATGGGTGATGAGAAACGAGAGGAGTGTTTGTGTTTTATAGGCCAGAGAGGGAATAAAATTTTACTTCCGTTTTGAAGCCTTTTTTTTTTTTTGGGTACATGAAAAAAAACGTTCAGAAGCGTTTTTGAATGCTTTAAATTCTATTTATTCATACTTATTGTAATTTTTAAAAATAATTGATTAATTGGTGAGGGTTTTAGACCAAAATAAAGGTAATTTAATGGTTATACAATAGGTTGTATGAAGCTACTTCTTAAACATTTATTTGTCGTAATAGCATTGCTCTTTCTTTTGAGATATCCATAACAGTTCCCTCATGAACCACATTTATGAATTGAGTAATTCCATTGTGACTTAAAAATTTAACTTAATTTATTGATATAATGATGTAGTTTCGTTATAACCATTCAATTAAAACTAAATTATAATATTTGATGTGACTCATAATCAATCCAAAGATTATAGTAAATTAGATCAATTATTTTTTATTCATATTAAATTATTACGTGATAACTTTATAATAAAAAATTGTTAATAATCTGAACATTGTCTGTTTAAAGGACTATATAGAAACATATTCAATATTTTAAGGACTAAAATAATGTAATTAAAATATTAAAGACTAAAATAAAACAAATCTCGTACTTTAAAAACCTCGTACAATTAACCCTTTGCGATATGTATATCTTATTCCATTAGATGATATTTTACTAGAATGTCAAATCAAAAAAATATGATACAGCTAAAAATAATAATTAAAAAAAGATTGCGTGTTGAATTACAATAGGATGGCGATGCCGGAGGGTGGGTCATCGTACACTACGATAGGAAGATTGATTGACGAGGTTATTACGGAGGGTAGTAAATCAGATAAAAATAAGTATCTGTTTAAACTTATTTTATTTGAATAAGAGATAAATTATATGTATTAGATAATAGATATATATGAAAATATCCGTATAAACTCGTGCAGAATTGAAAGTGGAGATGGACTGACACTTACCACCGTTCTGACTCGCCCCCACCCAACCCCGTTTTACCCGTTATTATTATTTTGATTATATATTTATATTATTATATATACATGTTACTGTAAATACAAATCTACATATTATTAAATATTTTTTTTCAAAATTTTTTTATTTATTTATTTATTTATTTTTTTTTATGTTTTTGGCTTATAAAAGTGTAGATCTTTTTATTTTTATGTTGGATCATGTTATGTTATATTATGTTGTGTTGCATGATGTTGTTTTGGATATACATGGTAGACAAATTTTTAATTATATTATGTTGGATTATGTTGTAGATGACAAGTTTTTAATTATGTTATGATATTTTATAATTATGTTGGATTATTTAAAATGTTATATTTATTTAGAATTTGAAAATATATTAGTTTAGGCTTGGGTTTGAGAGATTTATTTAGAATTTGGAAATATGTTGTGATGATGCACAAATCAGCTTTGCACAAAATCAACAGTCAAGAATGTGAATGGGGGCAGTCGATAAGAAGTAAACAGACAATTAATGATAAAACAATAAATAAAGAGTTAACACAGGCATTTATAGTGGTTCGGTCCGAGTGATTTACTCAACTCTCGTAAACGGCAGCGGTGACCTAAGTCTTTTATTAATTGGTGAAATCGCCAGAGAGAGTATTCTCCAAGAGAGAAGAGAGAGTGTGTATAAGGGGAGGTGTAGAGGTTTCAGAGGCGTGTCCTCAATATTGAGGGACGTACATTATATAGTTTAGGTAAGGTGATGATGTGAGTGAGAGGTCTTCTACAATTTTGGTAAGTACAATCTTAGTAGGATTAGATCTCCGTCGTTCGTGTCCCTATTCCGTCAAAGGATGATCTTGATCTTGAGCTTGGACTTGGACTTGGAGCTTGACTTGGATTAGTCTTGGATTTGCATTAGAATGAAGAGGGAGAAGGAGAGGGCTAGGGGGCAGCCTTGGCGGCGCCAGACTTGGGTGACCCCTAGGTGGCGCCCCTTTGGCTCTCACTTGGGCGTTGGCCTTTGATTTGAACTCCATTTGACTCTTTTCTGACTTGTGAGCAGTTCCAATTCCTTTTACGCTTCGGTAATTGGGACTCCTCTTGATGGGTTGACCCAGTTTTGATTGGGCTTTCTCGGTTTAAATTAATTGGGTTTGGCCCAGTCAATTTTGGACTCATTATTTACCCCCCATGCCCCAAGCCTTTAACTTTTTTCGAGAGAAAGAGGTCGAGGGCATGTGCTTCATTCCATGTGGGTGAGTCAGATTTTTTTTTTTGGCCCGGGCGCTGCCTTTTAGCTTCTTCTCTTCTCTTTTTTTTTTCTTCTTCCTTCTTGGGCTGGTTGGGCGGTGCCACTTTTGATTTCTTTTCTTCTCTCTTTTTTTACTTCTTCATTCTTGGGCTGGTTGCTGACCTCTCCCCTCTTCTTTTTTTTTTTTTTTTTTGTCTTTTCTTCTTGGGCGCTAGCTTGTTGGGCTAGCCCTCCTCCCCTTTTTCTTTTTTTTTTTTTCTTTCTTCTCTTTTTTTTTTCTTTTTGATCTGGGCGACGCCTGCTGCTTTTTTTTTTTTTCTAGGTGACACCTGCTGCTTCCTCTTCTTTTTTTTTTTTTTAAGGTGTCCGTCCCAGCTTCTTCAAGAAGCTTCTTCATTGTGCTTCTCCAAGAAGCTAACTCAACAAGCTTCCTCAAGAAGCTTTGTCAAGGCTTCCTCAAGAAGCCACTCCTTCCCTATTTAAAGACCTCTCCAAGATTTACTGTTCAATCTCATTTTCTGTCATTCCTCTCCTTTGGTTTACTGTTCATCTCACATTTCACTTCCAAACCAAAACAAGTGATGAAGACTAGGAAGTTGAAGAGTTATGAAGGAGAGGAGCAAGGAGGAGGGGACGCCAAAGGGGCCTGCCCAGGCAACGCCCGGGGGTCCTCTCCCATCAGTGACCTGGGTCACGAGCTTTCCGCTAACGGTCGTAATGTCGTTGGGATTTCCACTACCGGTGAGAGGCCCTTCGGAACTCTTGGATTGCGACTGGGTACGAACAAAAAGACTTCATTCAACTTTTTTGGCATATTAGAAAGGACCCATGACGTTGTTAGGCAGCAAAGAGAGTCTTCAAGAGGGACAGAGGGCGCCTATTATGGATTGGGCGATGCCACAGGCCCCTCAGGTGGCGCCCATGATGTACTGGGCGACGGCCCAGGCTCCCCAGCCAATACCCTAGACGTGGTTCGGTCCCCGCTTAACAAGTCCAGGAAACAGTTGATCGACGATTCGGACAAGGCTAGCCCTCGAGGTATGCTTCCAGTATTATCATTATTTTTTATTTTTTGACATAATTATTTTCCTTGGCAACGGCCTGAACTTGCTTTTTTTCAATTGTTCATTCAGGCGAGAAGGAGAGTGCTAAGGACCTTGAAATAGGTCCCTTTGTCGAAGGCTGCAATGATTTTAAGGTAACCTCCATTCTTAGCTCCTTTCATAGTGATGAAGACGTTATGGCCGTAGTCTCCTTTTATCTCATTCCACCCTCTGTGACGTGTCGTCGCACTGAGCTCGATGAACCAGCGTGTTGCGACTCTTTAGATAAGATTGTCCTTTATGAGGGCATGATGGAGGCCGGCCTAAGGCTCTCAATTCCTGTTCCCAAATGTCGGATTCTGAGTCACCTATTGTCGGTTCTCGAAAAATTGGCCCTGAATGGTTGACAGGTGATGACAACATTCTTTGCATTATGGGGGTTGGTGCATGGCACTACTGTTCCTCCACCCTTTGAGGAATTCTTGAGCACCTACGTACTTTTGGAGAACCTCGTTCCTCACCAAGGGTGGTACCGCTTCTCTCCGAGATCTGGCAAGTTTATCACCGAGCTCACATCCAATCTTCACAAGAGGAAGAGGAATTTTTTCTTTGCTGGTGGCGAGTGGGCTTCCGAGTCTGACCACGGGGCGGTGCCTACCCAATGGGATATAGCTCTAAAAACCAAGTTGGGTAAGTACTTTTACCTTTAACTTCTATCTTTCTCATCACATATTTATCTTTAAAATGTTATTGTTATCGTGTAGCTACGTCAACTCTGTCTGGGGGATCAAGAGAGGATGCTCCAGATGGTACGTGACAATTCATTCAGGGAGTTTTTAGAGATTATGTCGACAATCGGTGTTTCTACGACTCTTTTAAGGCAGAAGAAGAAAGGTACCTGACTACCTTAATGATACTCTTGAAAATATCTCATTATAGGCTTTCTGAATTACATTGGATTTGCAGGTGCCCTCCTTGATAGGTCGTTGGTGGAGTTCGTATGTGCCTCCAAGGTGTTGACTTCCCCTCCTCATCCTTCGAAGAGGGCGGGGACTAGTGCCCCCAATTCTTCTTCATCAGGGCCTACTAGAAAGGCTGGTCTTGTAGAGGCAGAGCTCGGAGATGCTCCTCCTCCCTCTTTGGCTATTATTTTCTCACTTCCCCGAGATGATTCTAGTACTGCTGCAGGGAGTGAGGGTCCGTTGCCATGTCCCATCGGGATAGATGATCCGCTCGATTGCTTCCCTTCGGGTGATGCTTTAGCGTCCATGCTACGGGATGTGAGGTTAGCAAGGGAGAGACTTTGTGACTTTGTGTTTGTTGTCGAAGCTCAAGAGGTTGCTTCTCGAGGTCCAGAGGGCGTGGTCAACGCCACCGTAGAGGGCTTTGCTTTGGTATGTCCTGCACTCTCGATTCGTATTCGGATTTCTTTGTCATATCTTAGCTTAGTTATGAGTTTCTTCGTACCTTCATTTTTAACTGTCTATAGGTGGCGGCTGTCTTGCCCTACTTGTTTGATAATACCCTGAGGATTGGGGAGGCAGTCAAGGGTCGGACGTTGGAGAGGCAGGCACGGAAGGCTACTGAGGACCAGCTTAGGCTTGAGCGGCAGGCACGAGA